TGCTCGCTAGCAAACAACAACTTGACTCGTCTATAGGCACGCCATCAACCACAGTCTGCTCGCTAGCAAACAACAACTTGACTCGTCTATAGGCACGCCGTCGACCACAGTCTGCTCGCTAGCAAACAACAACTTGACTCGTCTATAGGCACGCCATCAACCACAGTCTGCTCGCTAGCAAACAACAACTTGACTCGTCTATAGGCACGCCATCGACCACAGTCTGCCGCTAGCAAACAACAACTTGACTCGTCTATAGGCACGCCATCGACCACAGTCTGCTCGCTAGCAAACAACAACTTGACTCGTCTATAGGCACGCCATCGACCACAGTCTGCTCGCTAGCAAACAACAACTTGACTCGTCTATAGGCACGCCGTCGACCACTGTCTGCTCGCTAGCAAACAACAACTTGACTCGTCTATAGGCACGCCATCAACCACAGTCTGCTCGCTAGCAAACAACAACTTGACTCGTCTATAGGCACGCCATCGACCACAGTCTGCTCGCTAGCAAACAACAACTTGACTCGTCTATAGGCACGCCATCAACCACAGTCTGCTCGCTAGCAAACAACAACTTGACTCGTCTATAGGCACGCCATCGACTACAGTCTGCTCGCTAGCAAACAACAACTTAAATCGTCTATAGGCACGCCATCAACCACAGTCTGCTCGCTAGCAAACAACTTGACTCGTCTATAGGCACGCCATCGACCACAGTCTGCTCGCTAGCAAACAACTTGACTCGTCTATAGGCACGCCATCAACCACAGTCTGCTCGCTAGCAAACAACAACTTGACTCGTCTATAGGCACGCCATCAACCACAGTCTGCTCGCTAGCAAACAAACAACTTGACTCGTCTATAGGCACGCCATCGACCACAGTCTGCTAGCTAGCAAACAAACAACTTGACTCGTCTATAGGCACGCCATCGACCACAGTCTGCTCGCTAGCAAACAACAACTTGACTCGTCTATAGGCACGCCATCGACCACAGTCTGCTCGCTAGCAAACAAACAACTTGACTCGTCTATAGGCACGCCATCGACCACAGTCTGCTCGCTAGCAAACAACAACTTGACTCGTCTATAGGCACGCCATCGACCACAGTCTGCTCGCTAGCAAACAACTTGACTCGTCTATAGGCACGCCATCAACCACAGTCTGCTCGCTAGCAAACAACTTGACTCGTCTATAGGCACGCCATCAACCACAGTCTGCTCGCTAGCAAACAACTTGACTCGTCTATAGGCACGCCATCAACCACAGTCTGCTAGCAAACAACAACTTGACTCGTCTATAGGCACGCCATCGACCACAGTCTGCTCGCTAGCAAACAACAACTTGACTCGTCTATAGGCACGCCATCGACCACAGTCTGCTCGCTAGCAAACAACAACTTGACTCGTCTATAGGCACGCCATCGACCACAGTCTGCTCGCTAGCAAACAAACAACTTGACTCGTCTATAGGCACGCCATCAACCACAGTCTGCTCGCTAGCAAACAACAACTTGACTCGTCTATAGGCACGCCATCAACCACAGTCTGCTCGCTAGCAAACAACAACTTGACTCGTCTATAGGCACGCCATCGACCACAGTCTGCTCGCTAGCAAACAACAACTTGACTCGTCTATAGGCACGCCATCAACCACAGTCTGCTCGCTAGCAAACAACAACTTGACTCGTCTATAGGCACGCCGTCGACCACAGTCTGCTCGCTAGCAAACAACAACTTGACTCGTCTATAGGCACGCCATCAACCACAGTCTGCTCGCTAGCAAACAACAACTTGACTCGTCTATAGGCACGCCATCGACCACAGTCTGCTCGCTAGCAAACAACAACTTGACTCGTCTATAGGCACGCCATCGACCACAGTCTGCTCGCTAGCAAACAACAACTTGACTCGTCTATAGGCACGCCGTCGACCACTGTCTGCTCGCTAGCAAACAACAACTTGACTCGTCTATAGGCACGCCATCGACCACAGTCTGCTCGCTAGCAAACAACAACTTGCCTCGTCTATAGGCACGCCGTCGACCAAGTGTACACTTCAGAACTCAGCGTGTTATTTGGATAGCAACACCAGCAATGGCCAGAACACCAGCGGGTTTGAGCTGTCCCAGTGACGGCAGCAACTACCGGAAACCAGCCAACGACACGTCTTTGACCAACCACTCACAAGGTTGAGTCTTGGGGGCTCCAAAGGCGACAAATGTAAGACAATGTCACAAAATGTGTTCCTGACATCAGTGACACTACAAAGACACAGCCACCGACACATGGGATGACTTCACCTAACGTGTCATCACCCACCAGAGGGCGATAGGTCTATAACATTGTGGGACTACCATCATGTGCCTGATATTGCGGCCTGCCTGATGGACCGACACTTTCTACAGCCCAAAAAAACATTCTTCGTGTCAAACCAACCGTCAACAGTCTAGATATCGGGTTCAACCTCTTGAACAGTGACCAGCCCAAAATAACATTCTTCGTGTCAAACCAACCGTCAACAGTCTAGATATCGGGTTCAACCTCTTAAACAGTGATATTGATGACACCTATAATAGCCTCGCGCGTGGAACCAGCCTACAGTGGGTGCCAGGAGCCGAACCAGGACGTCCAGCCGGGTAATGTTGACCCCCAGCAGCCACCCCGTTCCCAACAGTAAATATTACATATAGATATGTCGCCATGGGCACCTTGGGCCAGTGACGTCGCCATTTTTATTCCGGGTCGGTCCTCCAAAAAGCAGGCTTCCCTCTTGGGGTGAGGTGAGGGTGAGGTGAGGGTGAGGGTGAGGTGAGGTGAGGGTGATGTGAGGGTGAGGTGAGGTAGGGTGAGGTGAGGGTAAGGTGAGGGTGGGGTGAGGTGAGGGTGAAGTGAGGGTGGGGTGAGGTGAGGGTGAGGTGATGGTGAGGTGAGGGTGAGGTTCAGGTAGGGTGAGGTGAGGTTGAGGGTGGGGTGAGAGTGAGAGTGAGGTGAGGGTGAGGTGAGGGTGAGGTGAGGGTGAGGTGAGGGTGAGGTGAGGGTGAGGTGAGGTGAGGTGAGGGTGAGGTGAGGTGAGGGTGGGGTGGGGTGAGGTGAGGGTGAGGTGAGGGCGAGGTGAGGGCGAGGTGAGGGTGAGGTGAGTGTGAGGTGAGGTGAGTGTGAGGTGAGGGTGAGGTGAGGTGAGGATGGGGTGAGGGTGAGGTGATGGTGAGGTGAGTGTGAGGTGAGGTGAGAGTGAGGTGAGGGTGAGGGTGGGGTGAGGGTGAGGTGATAGTGAGGTGAGGTGAGGTTGAGGTGAGGTGAGGTGAGGTTGAGGGTGAGGTGAGGGTGAGGTGAGGTAAGGGTGAGGTGAGGTGATATTGATGACACCTATAATAGCCTCGCGCGTGGAACCAGCCTACAGTGGGTGCCAGGAGCCGAACCAGGACGTCCAGCCGGGTAATGTTGACCCCCAGCAGCCACCCCGTTCCCAACAGTAAATATTACATATAGATATGTCGCCATGGGCACCTTGGGCCAGTGACGTCGCCATTTTTATTCCGGGTCGGTCCTCCAAAAAGCAGGCTTCCCTGTTGGGGTGAGGTGAGGGTGAGGTGAGGGTGAGGTGAGGTGAAGGTGAGGTGAGGTGAGGGTAAGGTGAGGGTGAGGTGAGGTGCGGGTGGGGTGAGGGTGAGGTGAGGGTGAGGTGAGAGTGAGGTGAGGGTGAGGTGAGGGTGAGGTAAGGGTGAGGTGAGGATGAGGTGAGTGTGAGGTGAGGTGAGTGTGAAGTGATGGTGAGGTGAGGTGAGGGTGCGGTGGGGTGAGGGTGAGGTGATGGTGAGGTGAGGTGAGGTTGATGTGAGGTGAGGGTGAGGTGAGGTTGAGGGTGAGGTGAGGGTGGGGTGAGGTGAGGTGAGGGTGAGGTGAGGTGGAGGTGAGGTGAGGGTGAGGTGAGGTGAGGTGAGGGTGAGGGGGGCAGGAGTTATTAATGTAAAATCATGGTTGTGTGGCGGTTTTGATTGGCTGTGTGTATGATGTGTCCCATGTCCCGCCGGCACCTGAAGTAGCTACTGGTATCCTTCTGTTCAGTGTCTCCAAGTCATGTCCAACAGTGGATACAGTCTGCTTGTGGATACAATCCAGCTGTGGATAAATCTAGTTGTAGATACAGTCCAGCTTTGGATGCAGTACAGATGTGGTTACAGTCCAATTGTGGATAAAGTCCGACTGACGTGCCTTATTGTCTGACGTTATCAGCTGGAGTCGTGACTTAGGAAAATAAATAAATATACAGCCAACCACACACACACACACACACACACACACACACACACACACACACACAAACACAAGCGCGAATACAACCAGCACTAAAATGTGCATTTAGTTTATATATCATACATGTCGGATGAACTGTTCCAGCGAGAAACTTGCAAGCACAGAGGAAGCCAAAACTACACGTGACCAGGATGAGATCATTTTCCAAACACACTTCAACATTTCCTGTAGTAACGAAACAAACACATCTGCGACTGTGAACCACAAAGTGTAATCTCTGTGTTGTTATGGTTTCACACACTCAAGGCTAGTTAGCTACTTGTCTGCTGGGTTTGTTGGTTGGTTCGTTAGTTGGTTCTTTGCTGGCTTGGTTGATTAGTTGATTGGCTGCTTGGTTATTGGCTAGCCAACTGGTTAGCTGAGTGGGTTTTTTTTCCGAATGTTGTAGTCTGGATGTTAGAGAATGCTACGCTTCACCTCTTCAAATGCGATACATCGGTGTTGACTGATGGATCTACTCTCAAAGAGAAAGCAGCACCTATTGACATGTCTGCTGTACAATGATGATGATCTCAACTGACAGAGCTCATGTAACGGTGCAACTAATATAACATTAAGGGATCACAAGGGATCACCAACAGCCTGAAAGTGTGTGAGCGGTCAGAACATATGAATCCGTGAGTGATTTAACTCCGAGCACATCCAGCCAGTCATGGTGACAACATGGCCACACATGAGATATTAAAATTTGGAATTATACATCTTCCACACATCCACGCGGCCCAGTACCATACAGTGGTCGTGGTATGACTGCACGGGCAGCTTGTAGCGGTAGATGCGGTCACCGTGGTCCCGATATGGCAGACGCAAGTTGTTGACGTCAGCTAGTGGAGGCAGACGCAAGTTCCCGCCAGATTCTCTGTCAGACAGGGATGTATACAACAATAAGTTCTTTTTTTTTTTTATATCGTACATAGTTACCATTCATTATTTATTCATTGAATTTTCCCATCATTTACACTTTGTGTTTATTCATCATTTATACATTGCATTATTTTCTTCATTATCACCTGGTTTAATTTGTTTCCTTATCACCTGGTTTAGTTTGTTTCCTTATCACCTGGTTTAATTTGTTTCCTTATCACCTGGTTTAATTTGTTTCCTTATCACCTGGTTTAGTTTGTTTCCTTATCACCTGGTTTAATTTGTTTCCTTATCACCTGGTTTAATTTGTTTCCTTATCACCTGGTTTAGTTTGTTTCCTTATCACCTGGTTTAATTTGTTTCCTTATCACCTGGTTTAATTTGTTTCCTTATCACCTGGTTTAATTTGTTTCCTTATCACCTGGTTTAATTTGTTTCCTTATCACCTGGTTTAATTTGTTTCCTTATCACCTGGTTTAATTTGTTTCCTTATCACCTGGTTTAGTTTGTTTCCTTATCACCTGGTTTAATTTGTTTCCTTATCACCTGGTTTAATTTGTTTCTTTATCACCTGGTTTAGTTTGTTTCCTTATCACCTGGTTTAGTTTGTTTCCTTATCACCTGGTTTAGTTTGTTTCCTTATCACCTGGTTTAGTTTGTTTCCTTATCACCTGGTTTAGTTTGTTTCCTTATCACCTGGTTTAATTTGTTTCCTTATCACCTGGTTTAGTTTGTTTCCTTATCACCTGGTTTAGTTTGTTTCCTTATCACCTGGTTTAGTTTGTTTCCTTATCACCTGGTTTAGTTTGTTTCCTTATCACCTGGTTTAGTTTGTTTCCTTATCACCTGGTTTAATTTGTTTCCTTATCACCTGGTTTAGTTTGTTTCCAAATCCCTTAGTTTAATCGTGTATTTTCTAGCCTGAAATGAAGACGAAGCGGTCCCGCAATAGCCAGCACACTAGTCGTCGACCACGGGGTCACATGTGGGGTCTCAGGTCGACCCCGGGGTCACATGTGGGGTCTCAGGTCCACCCAGATTAAAAATAGGAGCCAGTAAACGACCCTTGTTGACGACTTCAGGTATATATGACTGGAGCTATGTTTTACAGTCCAGACGACACTCGCTGTGTGATGTGGTCTTTACTTCCCAAGACTTTGCCTGGTATCCACTTAAAGCTGGGTTCACCAATGAGTCAAGGTCATTTGTGACAGAAGTCCCGTCAGATCACGAAGCCACGACTTTTCGATCCCGCTCCACAAAGTGGTACCTGTGCCATTCAAACAGTAGTCTATTACAACAATGAGTAATTTGGGTATTTCAAATGTATAACTAGAACTAAACGAAACAAAAAGTTGTCCCATCATTGGCGTGAAGACTTCAGTCCTGTGTGTTCTTCTGGCACGTCTGGGCTGTCAGAAATCGGCATATCTCGGAAGTAAGCTGCGAATAATACAGTCGTAGTCTTAAGACACAGACTGGATGGAGTCAGGAGAGCCTGGTCAAGTGTCCATCGTGGTGTTTCAGTGTTTTGTTGTCAGCGACTCCTACCCACAGAGGGTGATTTCTAGCAGTTAACGCGCATATTTTGTGTTTGTGTGTGTGTGTGTGTGTGTGTATATATATACGTGTGTGCGTGTATGTTGGTATCCACAATATCCTGTCATTCCTCTGTTGGATGCAATTTTTCGTTATTTGAAGCCCTACTCTGGCTCTTGCCGAGTGCCGCAATATAGCCCGACCACAACTATGGTCTAATGGCTGAACGCGGTTTCCGGGACTTCTCCACGGGTAATCCTCATCCACACGGTGGCACTTTGTGTCATCGGGTGTTTATCGCTTGTGTGATGTCCTAGTTAGGTAAAAGAAGATAGATAGATGGGTGTATGTTGGTGGTGTGTGTGAGTTGCATGTGTGTGTCTGGTGTATGTGTTTGTCGCGCGCGCGCGTGTGTGTGTGTGTGTGTGCGGTGTTGTGCGAGCGTGCTGCGTGTGTGTGTTTGACTCGTGCGAAAACTGAAGGTTGGTAACTTGACACTTACACGTGAGACGTGTACCCGGAGTCATAGGACACGTTTGGAGGAACATTCGGGTTGTCAGGGTTATTCATCAAGGTTGTGGTGACTTTCTTGATATGGGCACTCAGAAACATGGCGTCCTCCATGTTGGAAACGCCCAACCTGTGCAGACGCCAGTCAGGGGGAAAACATGACTTTACATCCTAGTCGGTCACAACGAAACAATTTAAATAATACTGAGCTTCCAGAGATCTCAGGACCAGGGAGAAAACAATGGTGGTGCTCCAGTATATTGTGCTATATGCTTAAAGGCTGAATGGGGGATTCTGGGATTTGTAGTCGTTTGATTCTCATCCTTGAGAAGTTAATCCAACATGCTGCAGAAACGCACACACACACACACACACATATATAAATGTATAAATGGAAGTCGCCATGGTGTAGCGGCTAGAGGCTCGCCTGTGGATCGGAAGGTTGTGGATTCGAATTCTGAAGGACCGGGCTTTCTTAAAAATAACCTTGGCTCCCAGGTCGACCCAGCCTTGAGTGTGTACCAGGTGCAGTCCTGGGAAGTAAAGGCAGCCGACGTGATGGCGACCTCATCACTCACTCAGTGCCGACTAGTCTATAAAATGTATGTCTAGCCCTATATACCCAATAGGCCCGAAGGCGTGGACACCGGTCCTTTACTTATATATAAACTCGCAGAACATTCTCAATAATGGCTGCATTCCATTGAAGAACATTCTGGGTAACTTGTCCATGTCTATGGAAGTCAAAACACAGATGTTTGGGCGCCTGTGCTGTCCGTCTGTATGTCTGTGAAGTTTGGACACCGACTAAGAAAACAGAAAGCAACTAAAGACAATATATTCATGTTTCTACACAGAAAGCTAACAGTCGTACAGATGATTAAGAGAGCCGCAATACAAGTACTGCACTCAGTTCACAAAAATATTTGATTACTCACACTGCCGTAAGACAATCTTGGCTGTGGGTCTCACTGTGAGAGAAGACAGATCGGAGGCTGTCAGTTGCAAAGATGTCTGGTGTTAGAAGCAGAGATCGACAGAAGGAGGAAATACTCGGCAGGTTCCGGGGGGTGTGGTATTGACAGATTCACATGGGAGACAAGTTAATGAAAAACAGGGAACAAATATTTATAGAAGAACTCGAACGTCTGCACCGCTCAGAATAACACATGATGATAATAAAAATAATCGATTCCGTGGCCTTCTTAGTCTTTCACACACATGCTTCGGCAGACGTAGCGCAGAAGACTTCAGTCAGGTGAATTTGAGGAGGACAAGACAACAAAACAGTCAACAACAAACAAGGACCTTTGTAAATCAAAAGCGTCCATCGTCTCCAGATCCTTCCCCGTGATGGCGTTCTCTGTAAAACACCGGAAGTACTTTGTGTAGCCAAGGTCATGGACATATCGGCCAACATCCCGCACAGTCCAGTTGGTGGTCACTGGCCAGGATGTGCATCTTGTTTCTGGACACTGGTTCATGCTGGTCTGTCCACAACTCATCCTCTATACAGACACGGGACTACGAGAATGGACACGTCTGAGTTGTTACTTGATTAACTTACGTGCATTAAGCATCTTAACCTACTGATTTAGACTTTGCTACTTTAAGCTGATAACCTTATAACTCAGTGACTGTCCTCGAAGCGAAATGTTAGTTTAACAAAGGACTGCAGTTGTTCAGAATGGCTACAGACAGATGTTTGCGACAGGCAAGTCAGTCTGGAGACTAGAATGTTCCATGCTTCAGCATTCAACCTCTGACAGGAAACTAACACTGGCCGCAGGTACAGACAGCACAACGAAGACTAGGCTGGGCTGTTGTCGGTCTAAAGATGCCGATATCTATTGCAGTGATCATTGTAGGGTCACAACAGCTTTTGGTGTATCAGTGTGCAGCAGATAGAGGGACACAGCGCTCTGGTGTGTTCACAGCTGATGCTGCTTCGTGTGTGGATGTCTCAGTCTGCAAAAATTTATGTTTCGTGTTTGCTCAGTCATGATTTGATTTGATTTGATTCAAGAACCGACATCACAGCACTCGGGGCATTCTGTCCCATCTTCAGCAGCCACCGAAGAGTTCCGATACTAATGGTGCCAGTAGCATTCTGATTAAAAGTCCGTCTTTCCTTTCCTCTGAGCCTCGAGCATCTTCCAGAACCTCTTGTCACCCCCAACTGCATCACTCTCACCAGACTGTGGTGATCCATCTGCTCCTCCGAACTGTACAAGCTCTCCCACAAGGCATTAACCACATCTGCCTTATCATTTATCAGTATTCCACCAAGTTGTGCAGAGCCAGCCAGTCCGTCCGACTGTTTATTTCCCAACACACCGGCGTGCCCCAGTGAAGCTTGCCATTCAGCACGAATTAATCAAGTAACAGAAAGTGTATTGATCGGCACTCATAGAAAGAAGTAGACAGATAGAAGAACACACTTGACAACATAAAAATCGAAAGCTTCAGTTACAGTGCCGGGAATTGAACCTGTCACCTGCAGACGGCGTCTGAACGAAGCATGTCTGTCCTGATCTTCCTCAGCATGGGAGCTGCAATAGTTTAGCCTGTTCGCCGGATGTTTTAGAATCGGCTTGAGGAAGATGTTTTCTATTTAGCTGCACTCCAGCTTACACTGGTGCCAGAACATTTTGAAGAAAAGGGGGGGGGGGGGAGACTAGCTACATCATTCAAAATGAAGTCTTCTCAGGACAATCGTGTCAATATCGCCAATACAGGCTTGTTGGCGGGAAATAGTTGTCAAAAATGGCATAAACAAGGGACAGAACACTGGCTAATACCGAGGACAACAGCAGTGAGTGTAACACAGTTACCACAGGGGACAAAAGCGGTGAGTGTACAACCATTAACACAGGGGACAAAGCCGGTGAGTGTACAACCATTAACAAAGGGGACAAAGGCGGTAAGTGTACAACCATTAACACAGGGGACAAAGTGGTGAGTGTACAACTGTTAACACAGGGGACAAAGGCGGTGAGTGTACAACCATTAACAAAGGGGACAAAGGCGGTGAGTGTACAACTGTTAACACAGGGGACAAAGGCGGTGAGTGTACAACCATTAACACAGGGGACAAAGGCGGTGAGTGTACAACCGTTAACACAGGGTCAAAGGCGGTTAGTGTACAACCGTTAACACAGGGGACAAAGTGGTGAGTGTACAACTGTTAACACAGGGGACAAAGTGGTGAGTGTACAACTGTTAACACAGGGGACAAAGGTGGTGAGTGTACAACCATTAACACAGGGGACAAAGGCGGTGAGTGTACAACCATTAACAAAGGGGACAAAGGCGGTGAGTGTACAACTGTTAACACAGGGGACAAAGGCGGTGAGTGTACAACTGTTAACACAGGGGACAAAGGCGGTGAGTGTACAACTGTTAACACAGGGTCAAAGGCGGTTAGTGTACAACCGTTAACACAGGGGACAAAGTGTTGAGTGTACAACTGTTAACACAGGGGAAAAAAGGCGGTGAGTGTACAACCATTAACACAGGGGACAAATTGGTGAGTGTACAACTGTTAACACAGGGGACAAAAGCGGTGAGTGTACAACCATTAACAACGGGACAAAACAATAGACTGTTATGCCAATGAAAGCCACCCTGGTATAGCAGCTAAAGGTTAGCCTTCAGATCCAAAGGTTGTTGGTTCCTGTCCTGGTGGAGTCTTGACTTTTTTCACATATGACCTTGGCTTTCAGGTCAACCCAGCCTTAAATAGGTAACAGCTTGAAGTCCTGGGAAGTAAAGGTGGCTGGTGTGATGTTGAAGAGTGCCAACTGGTCTATGAAGTATACAGGTCAAGTCTGACAACAAACTCCACTATTTGCCCAATGCGCCTGAAGGTGTAGAAAATGATCCGTTTCTTGACTGTTATTCCAACAGTCTCAAATATTAAAATTGTGTATTCCTTTAATCTGTACTTCTCAATGTTTATTCTCTTGAAGCGAGCCAAAAATATTTAAAAAAAACTGATCATGCAAATCCAATCGAAAGATGATATCTTAATCAAACACTACAAGCAACTCCCCACACAACAAGAACATTTCTCTCTTCAAATATTATATTTGTCATAAAACATCCCTGCATTCAACAGAACATTTGTTAATTTAAATTTAGAAATTGCATTCATCGGACAACCCACTCATACAACTGTACCATCCCTGCATTCAATCGTAAGACAACCCACTCATACAACTGCACCATCCCTGCATTAAATCGTCAGACAACCCACTCATACAACTGCACCATCCCTGCATTCAATCGTCAGTGAACCCACTCATACAACTGCACCATCCCTGCACTAAATCGTCAGACAACCCACTCATACAACTGCACCATCCCTGCATTAAATCGTCAGACAACCCACTCATACAACTGCACCATCCCTGCATTAAATGGTCAGACAACCCACTCATACAACTGTAACCCACTCATACAACTGCACCATCCATGCATTCAATCGTCGGACAACCCACTCATACAGCTGCACCATCCCTGCATTCAATCGTCAGACAACCCACTCATACAACTGCACCATCCCTGCATTCAATTGTCAGACAACCCACTCATACAACTGCACCATCCCTGCATTCACAAGCTCTTGCTCTCACAACTGAAGACTGGATTCTATAGAATAATTTATTTCAAGAAATTAAATGTGACATTTTCACGATTATGCTCCACCTCTGCAAACAACAATTCTTCTTCTTCGGCGTTCGACATTAGTCACGCTAAACATTGAGTCCCGTCTGGGTCACAAATAGGATTGTGCGTTTTAGGTCGCCACCGGTCCCCCATGAATTCAAGCAAAAACAACAATAAAATAACTGTAACTGTATCATTACTAACAATAATTTGCAAATAGCCAAAGCTGTAACACATAAATGGGACAGAGCTGAATCTGTGCACAATCCTCTCAAGTGTAAGTCACAGACATTAGTTCACTGATGATCTGGTCTAAGTTTGATGGTGCCATCACGGTGGTGCCATCACAGTGGTGCCATCACGGTGGTGCCATCACAGTGGTGCCATCACGGTGGTGCCATCACAGTGGTGCCATCACGGTGGTGCCATCACAGTGGTGCCATCACAGTGGTGCCATCACGGTGGTGCCATCACGGTGGTGCCATCACAGTGGTGCCATCACAGTGGTGCCATCATGGTGCAGTAGACAGTCACAAGTCTAGGAGAAGTCAGGCAGGGAACACTAGGATAACAGTGACATGGCAGCATCTTGTCTACGAGCTGTGACACCAAGTAAGCGCAGGTTTGAGACCCAGTCCAGTGTGAGATTTGATGTGGCACAACTCAGTCATGCATTGACTAGGACAACAGAAATCAAATGCCTCCAAACACGATATGACTGTGGATATTTTATATTATATAGCAGAAATCAAAGGGGAAACTCAGGGAGATGACTGTCACAGATTGGCTGTTCACTTCCCCATGTGAGTTACAGGGCCTGTGGGAAAACAAATACATCCACTGCACTCTGATAGGTTGTCGAAAGAGGTGAATGATGAAGGATTTGTTAAAATTGGATGTGTTTGGCTGAAAGGTGCAGATACCACAGCCTAGCTGTAAACCACAGTACGCAACCGCCCTTTTAAGGGTGAATGCAGAAGAAGCTATTTGCTAATGATGCTGTAATTTTTTTCTTTCTCTCACTCACTCACTCACTCACTCAGACATGCACACACATAGAGAGAGAGAGAGACAGACAGACACAGAGAGGGGTAAGACCTCCAGAATGTAATGAACAAAGCTTCTATCCATGTGAAGACTTCAATGACAACAAGCCAGAATGTAATGAACAAAGCTTCTATCCATGTGAAGACTTCAATGACAACAAGCCAGAATGTAATGAACAAAGCTTCTATCCATGTGAAGACTTCAATGACAACAAGCCAGAATGTAATGAACAAAGCTTCTATCCATGTGAAGACTTCAATGACAACAAGCCAGAATGTAATGAACAAAGCTTCTATCCATGTGAAGACTTCAATGACAACAAGCCAGAATGTAATGAACAAAGCTTCTATCCATGTGAAGACTTCAATGACAACAAGTCAGAATGTAGTGAACAAAGCTTCTATCCATGTGAAGACTTCAATGACAACAAGTCAGAATGTAATGAACAAAGCTTCTATCCATGTGAAGACTTCAATGACAACAAGCCAGAATGTAATGAACAAAGCTTCTATCCATGTGAAGACTTCAATGACAACAAGTCAGAATGTAGTGAACAAAGCTTCTATCCATGTGAAGACTTCAATGACAACAAGCCAGAATGTAATGAACAAAGCTTCTATCCATGTGAAGACTTCAATGACAACAAGTCAGAATGTAATGAACAAAGCTTCTATCCATGTGAAGACTTCAATGACAACAAGTCAGAATGTAATGAACAAAGCTTCTATCCATGTGAAGACTTCAATGACAACAAGCCAGAATGTAATGAACAAAGCTTCTATCCATG